GTACACACAATGCCCAGACTTGGTTTCTCAATACCATTCTCCACTGACAGAAACCAGGGCTTCCTGGAGAAATGTCAGACTCCTGATGTAGAGTTGGGAAAATACAGTATCAGCCTGGATCATCTTTTTCACAAATCTAGACAATGAGCCCAGAAGGAAATAAGTGAATGCAGACACCATCTCAGCCAAGTAATAAAAGCTACCACAGGTAATGAAGCAAACGGACATCTGCAACTCCTAATTCTATGCAGCAGGAACACATCTATGGGTAGCCTCCTCAAAAAGGCGTATATCAAAGGAATCCTAAGGGCCCCCTGCATGGCTCAGTCAGTTCAGCATCCGACTCTTGATCTCAGAGACATGAGTTCAAGCCCTGTGTTGGGCATGGAGCCTACTTTAAAAAAGGAAAAAGGATCACAAGACAAACCCAAACTGCAAGGCATTTTCACAAAGCAATTCATACTCTCTAAAATTGTCAGGGTCATGAAAAAACAGGTGAGAGGCTAAATACTATGGGTGATCTTGAATTAAATCCTGACATTATAGAAAAAAGGTGAAACTTGAATATGTCTGCAGATTAGATTGGATCAATGCTAATTTCCTGATTTTGATGATGTGGTTATATAGGAGAATGTCTTTATTTCTAGAAAATCTACACTAAAGCGCTACGGGATAAAAAGATAGCAACTTAAATGACTCAAACACAAAAATGCAGCAATGGCAAGGGTTGGGGGTGTTGGGGGAGCGAATGGTAACAGTTGGAAAATCTGAAATCTGAAGAAAGAGTATATGGGAACTCTGTACAATTTTTCTAACCATTCCATAAACTTGAAATTATTTTTAAAATATTCTTGTCCTTAAAAGGCAAGAATAACTCTAAAGCACTACCACCAAAATGCTTTCTAGAGCATGGAAGAAAGTGGTACTAATTACTAACCAAGGTCAGCTCTACCTGGGTGCTCTAAGGGGAGACGTGCTGGGGGCAGCAGAGAGACATTAAAATCTACTTCTTGGGATCCCTGGGTGGCGCAGCGGTTTGGCGCCTGCCTTTGACCCAGGGCGCGATCCTGGAGACCCGGGATCGAATCCCACATCGGGCTCCCAGTGCATGGAGCCTGCTTCTCCCTCTGCCTGTGTCTCTGCCTCTCTCTCTCTCTCTCTGTGTGACTATCATAAATAAATAAAAATTAAAAAAAAAAAAAAAAAAAAAAAAACAAACATAGAAAAACTCTTTAAAAAAAAAATAAATAAAATAAAATCTACTTCTTCAATGATTCCAAGTTAGAACTGGTCCCTTCCTAGCTCAGCCTCAGGCAACTGTATGCGTTTTAGGATACAGTGGATGGCTCTACTTATTGGCTAAGAAGTAGTTCAAATGGTTACTGGTGTAAACACAAAAAAACACTTTCCACTAAGGAACATCAAAGACCATATAATACTTTATTCAGTGACCACGATGCAAAGAAAGTATTGAATAATTTATGGTCAAATAGTTTTTTTTTAATTTTTAATTTTTATGTATTTATGAGAGAGAGAGAGAGAGAGAGAGAGAGAGAGAGAGAGAGACACGCAGAGACACAGGCAGAGGGAGAAGCAGGCTCCATGCACCAGGAGCCCGACGTGGGATTCGATCTCAGGTCTCCAGGATCGCGCCCTGGGCCAAAGGCAGGCGCTAAACCGCTGCGCCACCCAGGGATCCCGTCAAATAGTTTTTTATGCACTTAACATAAACAGTATCATTTCACTATTTCGTTTTATCAACACGGAAAAATTCGAAGTACATGTAACATATGGGCAAACAAAGCAGTAGAATAAAATTTCTGTCGTGTGCCAGCTACGGTATGCAGTCTTGTCTTACAATTGTCATTAAAAAGTGTGTCCTGTGTTGCAGACACTGTCATGGTACTAGAGGTCCATGAGGACTAAAACAGGGGCTCTCGGGGTGCGATCCTGGAGTCCTGGGATCGAGTCCCACATCGGGCTCCCGGCATGGAGCCTGCTTCTCCCTCTGCCTGTGTCTCTGCCTCTATCATAAATAAATAAATAAATCCTTAAAAATAAATACATACATACATACATACATAAAACAGGGGCCCTGGTTTCACAGTGTTTACAGCAAAGTTGGAGAAAGGTACAAAAACAGATCATCACTGTACAGGGTGACAGGTGCAAGGGCAACAATGGGAGTATTCCAGAAATCTACATATCTGGATAGGAAATATAACTAGGAGAAGTTTTCTTTAAAGGAGGCAGCCCCTCATCTGGGTGGCTCAGTTGGTTGAAATCTGACTCGATTTTGGCTCAGGCTATGATCTTGGGTTCATGAGAATGAGTCCCTGCCCCCCACCCCTGCTGGGCTCTGTGTTGGGGGTGGAGGGGGGAGTCTCCTTGAGATGCTCTCCCTTCTCTGCCCCCCCCTGCCCCACCCCACCCCTGTGCTGGTTCATGCTTCTCTCTCTCAAATAAATCAATCTTTAAAAACAAAATAAATAAAATTTAAATAAAATAAAGCAGGCAGCCCCTGAAGTAAGCTTTGAAAGGAGAACTCAGCAAGCAAAGGAAGTAAAGGAAAGGCATCCCAACGATGAGAATGGGACGGTGTGTGGCCAGGAGCCACAGAGGCCCAGGCTTACAGGGGGTGGCACACAGAGCAGGGGTGGCAGACATCTGGAAGGCCATGAAGAGAGCCACAGTATGGAGTTTTGACCTAAGGCAAGGAGCTTAATTAAACCTACTTTTTAGGTGAAGAAGAGCTACTAAGGGCTTCTACGTGTGGGAAAAACAATTCAATTCTCATTTGAGGCCCGAGGGCAATAGACTAGACAACAGAATGGAGAAGCACATGAGGAGGCTGTTGTCACTGTCTGGGCATGAAAGGACAAACGGCTGCCCAGAGCAGCAGGATTAGGTGGGAGGAAAGGGATATAAGCCAGACGTTCCCAACTTTCAGGTCACAGCACCCCGAGTGTCTCAGTATGTTTTTCATAACACTTCCAGGCCTACCCTAAAGAATACCCAAAAGCTAGTGTGTGCTGAGCACCACACAACGCCTCCAAGGGTGCGACTGACTGACCACTGTCACCCTTCCTTCTCCTTCTCTAGTTATTTTATGTGATGCTGGCTCTTTAGCCCAGGAACCACTGATGTTCAGGTCCAGAAAGATAGGAGGTTGCTGAGAGGAATGGAATAGGATGCTGAAACCATGAACACCTCCAGCTAGCAGTTCATGGGATGTCTGAGAGATGCTTCCTTTGAAAATCCAACTATCCCACAATGCCTCCCGCCACAAGTTTGCGCCAATGCCCTGGGGTGCCTCAGTGCACAGTTTGGGAACTGTGGATAGAAGTCTTATTGAAGACATACAAACCAGGCTTGAAAACTGACTGGACGTCGGGGAGATAAAGGTCTCCCAGATCTCAAGCTCAGAGTTCTGGGTGAGGGGTGGAGCCATGACAAAGAACATGTAGGAGGGACCAGACCAGGCTGCAAAGTCTTCCAGGGTAACAATGCAAAGGGAAGAAACGACGGCAAGTACTATCTACCCACTGTCTACAAATATTCAAAATTACACTCTTGTTTCTTTAATCCAAGAATTTTATATAGAGGGGCCCTGGGTGGCTCAATCGGTTAAGCGTCTGCCTCCGGCTTGGGTTGTGGTCTTGGGGTCCTGGGATCAAGCCCTGTGTTGCACTTAATGCTCGGGGGGGCATCTGCTTTTCTCTCTCTCCTTCCCTCTGTCCCTCCCCCTGCTCGTGCTCACTCTCTCATGCTCTTCCTTAAATAAATAAAATCTTAAAAAGAATTTTATGGAGAGTGTATGAAACCTCATACCAGAGATTTCTTAGAGCCAAATGGAATGGGAGACCATCCTTAGACCACACCACGCGGAAGGTCTCCAAGTCTCACACTACTACCACATGATGCTCCACTTTAAAGTAAGTGGTGGTAAGCATCTGCAATGTCTCGCTTTCCCCCTACTGAATACTTTAATAAAACAGTAATTGCTACATGGTTTAAACACTGTTATTCAGGTGCTGACTCTTCCTGTTATTTTGATACATGTGAGAATGAGGAAAGGCATACATTCCATTTTAGGAAGGGTTTTAAAGGAAGGGAGTAAGTAGGACCTGTTAAATTAATGGCTAAAATTAAATATACCACCAACTACCCAGAATGTCAATGTTAATGCTATATCTCTGTTAATCCCATCATGGATCATCAAAAAAATCAGTTGTTTTGACCTTTTACGCTTCAATGACCACATCTGCTCCTGAATCACCCAGCATAGCTACAGGTTCATGAGTGCATCTGGATACCTCTGTGACTAACGGTTGGGATGAATACATTGACTAGGTAAGTAATGGAAGCAACAACTCTTTCTGGGTAATAAAAATTTCTTACTCAGTGTTACTCAGGTTAGCTCTACTAACACCGACCACAGGGTCAGAAGCACCTGTGGCCGCCGTGGGACCTTCAGAACGGCAGGGAGCACGGGGCCTCGGCCTGGCCTCCCTGACGGTGCACAGGCAGCTCACTATGAGTCACTCCTGAAAACTACCAGTCTGGTCTGGCTAGCAGTGTAGGATTTCAGCACCTTGTAAAGTATGCTTTGGATGAAGTAAAAGGAACGGGGGGACTCCGTTCCTTGGGCTGTTCAGTATAACGCACTACTATGGCCGTGAAACAGGAATTTCAAACATCAATGTGACGCAAAGTTGGACTGCTCTGAGGGTAGCACTTTGACTCTGTGCCATGCAAAAAGCTCACCCTTAAAAAACAGAGGATGCCCACGATGGGAGAGGTCATGACCATCAAAGGCAAGTAAACCACAGACACTAGAAAGTGTGAATATTCCAAAAGGAAGTCCCATAATACCTTCTTGTAGCCCTCAGCTTCTTAACAAGGGGAGGCATTGCACTATGGGGCAAAGGAAGATTTATTTGAAAATGAGCAACCTCTACTTCTGGAGAAGTCACCAAGAATATCTAAAGGTCACTCACCAAGACACTTAAAAGGTACTACGACGTGAGTCTTGCACTGCTTTTTGTCCCTCCGGCACCAATTGTCAACACTGACTGGCTCGTTTGCTTCCATCACATTTGTGATCTGTAGCTCTGGATACATCTGCAAAGAAAAGAAAACGCGCTCACAATAAATTGACTTTATCCATAATAGATGGATGTTCATTTCCAAGTAAGGATGGGTGTCTGCTTCCTCAGCGTCATCATTATCCTCCATAAATCTAAACTTCACTCTGCTACTCCTGGTTCTAACTGAAGTCATCAAGTAAAAAGATATTCTAACTATTAGTTCTCTTTTGTCTGGGAGATTTCTGACCACTTCTAATGCATTCTCTTAAAACAAACAAAAAAGGAATCTTTACTTAAGGATATACAAAAGTAGCAGGCTCTCGAGTCCACAATAAATCTATTAGGTACAAGTCCACTTGCAGGGTGCATGTAAATAGCTGAAAAGAAAAAGATATTAAAAGGCAAGTCCATGGAAACATCTGCTGATGAAATTAGAGAATAAAACTCTAACCCTGGCCTTCTATGCTAATCTTGGTGAGAAGTTAAAACATCTCATATCCCTTTCTCGGTCAAGTTCTGACCCCAAAGGTAAGCAGAATCAGATCTGAGACAATCATTTATATAATACAGGTGGCTTTCTAGCAGCAAGTGGAAAGTGCAAGTGTCCACCCGACAGGTTTGGCTTTATATCCTCCCATAGTAAGTGGGAAGCCAAGAGAAGCAGGCTTCACTCGTATGGTACCTGCCGAGCTTCTGTGCGGATGGCCAAAACCTCTGACAAGTCTCAGCCATGTCATATATATTGAGACATAAAAGGCCCGGTGCTCCATCATTAGCAACTCGGGCTTCTAAGGTAAAGAGGTTCAAGCCTGGGATGCCTGGGTGGCTCAGTGATTGAGCGTCTGCCTTCAGCTCAGGTCAAGATTCCAGGATCCAGAGATCGAGTCCTACATAGGGCTCCTCACAGGGAGCCTGCTTTTCCCTCTGTGTCTCTTTCCCTCTCTCTGCATCTCTCATGAATAAATAAATAAAATCTTAATAAATAACATAAAATAAAGAGGTTTAAGCTTGACCCAGGAAAAAGTCATTTTCACGTTCCAGCAACAGTCTTACCTCCTGACAGTACTGAAGAACTTCTTCTTTTGTTCCGAAGCATTTCTTAGTGCCTGTTGGGTCTGGTTCCCATTTCCCAGTCTGAATGTTCACATGCATATTTAACTTCCCACAAAATACTGCAATTTGAGGCTCGGCGACAGCAAATCCTGTTCCGGCATTGGCCGCAAGAGCCTACCAAAGGGGGGAAAAATCCAGGTTTACTCCCAAAAGGCTGGCACAAAGGCACAGTCATCTACTGGTTGTGACACTAGAACTGATCTCTAAAAACTTGTTTATTAGTTTTATCTTTATCTTCATAAACAAGTCCTTTTCCCAGGAGTTAGGCCAGAAAAAACAATGAGCGTTGGACTTACATGATCAAAGCGAAAGGTCAATGGAAAAAATCTACCCCCTACTCCCCACCTGGATACTTCTGACTTGGGAACCTATAATCCAACTGTGGTCTGCTCTACTACGAGTGTATCTACTTCCCGGTCCTTCATATATTAAACCACAGAAATACAGAACGGCAAAAGTGCTAGTAATTCACTCACACAACAAAATCTTGTCGAGCAGCTACTATTTTGCAAAGTAATGTGCTAAATGCCTACGACACAGAGTGAGCAAAAAGTCATGGTCCCTGCTCTCGTGGGGCTTTCGGCCTACTGCTGGACTCCATACTCGCACATCAAGTGTGATCACATTCCTAGATATCCCACAAAGGAAAAGAACCCAGTGCTGAAGCAGCATATAGGAAGGGAATTTAACCTAGACTGGGATACGGAGGTGGTCAGCGAAGCTTCCTGACGTGGAGCTTCCCACGTGGAGGAAACGTAGACAGAGAGGCAGACAGCAGCGGCAGAAGGGTGAGAGGCAGGCAGGTGCAAGTCTAGACAACCGTGCGGGCCAAGAAAGGACTTCTGTCTTTGTCACTGAGGTGCTAAGAGGTTTTAAGCACAAAGTTAGTATTTTCAAAACGCACCTGTGATATTTTCTGGTTGCACGATGGCAAAGAGACTGCAAGGGAACAAGTGTATGCAGGGGATGGCTCAGGAAGCTGGTGTCACGGACTCAGGGAGATGAAGAGAGGGGGAGCGAGGGAGGGTGGCACCTGAGACGAAGGCAGTACAGCGGAGAAACAGATGCAAGAGACCGGACAGTACAACTGGTGAGCGTTGGCGACAGATTAACTAAGGGGCACAGAAGCAGATGTCAAGCATGGCTTGCATTACTCAACGAGGGATGCATCATTCACGGAAATGGGACACTAAAAGGGATTTCATGAACAATTTTATCTTGTATCAGATAAACATAATGATTCCACTGTCTTTCTCTGACTGGTATCCTCTTCTTTGTGAAAAGATCATAGCCACTAACAGGTCACAAATTACAGGTGACAAAAAACATTTAGGCATCGTGACAGGTAAGGCTCCTACAAAGTCTCATGTTCCAGAAAAAAACACAGGCATCCCAGCACCTAGAAATATGCCAATATTGATGGATGCATCCACAGTGGAGTTTTGTGGTTTCCTCTAATGTAAAAGTTCTTTCAAAATAAAAACTGAAGTTTTTTAAAATGTTAAAACTTGGCAGATAGGTTAAAGATTGTAAGGTCTATCATAGTGCTCTTTTTTAAAAGAGCAATTAATATAAAATGGCTTTCCTATTAACAAAAAGGGTAGCTTTGACTTCTGTAATATATGGAAATTATGTGCTTTCTAAGCAACTCTTATTTGTCCTGATGGACGACAAAGATATTAAAGGTCCTTCCAATCAGGAGACTACATTTGATTTTGAAAGGCATTATGACCTTTCTCCAGGAAAAATTTGCCATCGTCCACCTATTTTGCTCAGGAGCTTATTAAAATAAGCCTGCTTCCTACCACTACAAGAGAAGGAAACACAGACACTTGTTGGATAGCTGGGAGAAAGCTAATTTGGGATGAAAATATTGCCAAGATCAATCAGGGTTGAAAAAACACCTCAATTAAATCCAACAAAGAGAACAATTAGGAACTTTATTAACTAGAATTGATTGCAGCCCTACTGTGATGATTAATCATTTATTAAAGCAGAAGGCAGATCCTATGTCTTCCATATAACTGCGTACAAAGTTACAGGCTGATGAGAAAAAGAAAAGGGGTGCCTGGCTGGCTCAGTGGAGCCTGTGACTCGATCTCCAGGTTGTAAGTTCAGGCCTCATGTTAGATGTGGAGATTACTTAAAAATAAAATCTTCAAAAAAAAAAAAAAAAGAAAAGAAAAAGAAAGAAAGAAAGAAAATTGAAGGATAAGTACACACATTTATTTATAGGCAATACTCTAATGGTATTTAATTCAAAGCAATCATTAAAAGGTGTAAGGATGCCCCAGACAGATGTGCTTAATATTCACATTGAGTTCAACATGTGGACCAAAATTTCTCTTCTGGGGGTCATTCTTCTTTTGAAAAAGCCACATGTTAAGGATGGGCTAGCATTCGGGTATGACATGGAGGAAAATGGGTTAATATCGAGACGAAGGCAAAGGAAACCCAGGGACAATTTTGTCTATTGAAACCAGTGTTTCCCTAAAGTTCTTTCCTTCCTACTTCAAAAGCCCAGATAGAAATAAAGAAAATTAAGAAAGATATAAAAAATATATAAGAAAGCTCAATCAATAGGTCAAAAGGAAAGGGTTTCCTAAACCTTCTGTAATTGAACCACCACAGTTAAATCTAAAAGATGTAAAGCAATTAATTCCTAAATCCTCTTTATGGCTTTGTAGATTTTATTCTTAAGATTTTTGTTTGTTTGTTTGTTTGTTTACACAGGGGGTGGGGGAGAGGCAGAGGGAGAGAGAGAATCCCAAGCAGCCTCCATGCCCAGTGCAGGGTCTGACTCAGGGCTTGAGCCAATGACCCTGAGATCACGACCTGAGCTGCAATCAAGAGTCCGAGGCTCAACCTATTGAGCCACCCAGTGGCCCCCTTAAGATTTTATTTTTAGGTAATCTCTACCCCCAACGTGGAGCTTGAGCCCATAACCCCGAGATCAAGAGTCGGACGCTCCACTGACACAGTCAGCAAGGAGCCCCTGGCCTTGTATAGCTCAACATTAAAAGCAGCTATTAAATAAATAGGATGTCAGGTACAGTAAAAGTACGGGGGGGGGGGGGGGGGACATTAACCGCTCAAATTCCAGACATGAATTCAGGTAGGAACTAGTGTCAATTAGTTATGTGAGCTCACCCAAGCCACAGCCGTGCACTGGGCGAAAGCGTGCAGGCAGCCACTTATCAGCACCAAAGATCATGTTGCACAAGTTACTCATTATGGTCGTTGGCTACAAGACCACAAGAGTTCCAACTGGATAAATGTTCAGTTTATGGGTCAACCACTAAGGTCAATACATCAGTGATGAGTGCATTTGATCTTTGTGCTGAGATGGTCAACATCGCCTTCCCTAAAGAGAATCTAAAATACCAGAGGTTAAAGCAACAGGAAGAGGCAGCTAGGCAGCAGCAGCTCCTCGCATCAGTTACCACCAAGAAAAGGGAGAGTAACTGGAAGCCTTCCAGACAGCTAATATGCTGCAGTGATTCACTCTTGAGTTCAGAAAGATTAATCCTTGTGGTCATAAGAGACTCTCGAGAAGGTATCATCTGAAATATAAAAAGCCTCTGTGGACCATGTCTAGGAATCAACTAATCAAACACATCCCAACCTTACCTAGGGTATAATAGGATCGGTTTTGTTCTGTGATGTTTGTACTTCTTTCCTTTGAAAATGCTCTTATTTCATGTGCGTCCATTTTCTGAAGCACACACTGTGCCTGGATCCATTACATCAATGTATAAATCAATCTGTTTCCTAATCTAACATGTTACAAATGGGATTTCACTGCCAAGTCAGCACTTCTGATGTCCTGTGAACCTGGAATCCTCTACGAAAAGAAAATTAATGCCCCAAGCTTTGGCACTTAAGCCGGTCCTTGTGATCTATGCACATTGCAGCACTTTTAAGGCTTTGAAAACAAATTGCATCAATTGCTTCCCAGTCCAGTGCTTCCATTTTACTTAATAATTCATTCTTAATAAGAAATTCCATCTTATTAATTTGGCTCAGGAAAGAGAGTTTAGCCTTACAAGGACAGAAATTCAACTTGGTAAAAAGTGCTTCGAGTAACTTGGTCGAAAACCTGACATGGCTTAAAGCAATAAATAAATCTAAGTAAATCTAAATCTGAACCTAACTTAACTGAGGGCCTTTCATCACCATCTCAAGAGGTGCGGCTCCTCGGCCCATCTCGGCCCCACTGCCCTTCACCAACGGCAGTGCTCCCAGTCCAGGGCGAGACCTAAGCCCAGGATCTCCTTCCTCTCTGAAACTATCGTCCCAGAATCCAAGTTGGCTCGGGGTTTGGGAAAGTGCCTGCCGTGGAGGGAGCATCTTCTAAGGAGGATTGTTTTATCCCCTTACTGAGTGAATCATGTTTCCTTGGATAGGAAGGTGCTACATTACAGCCAGGCAAGCATTCCAGCTTCGGTCCAGGAGGGCAAGTTCACACAGTCCCAGTACGAATAAATACGGAACGAAACACGCCTTTGGAGCATCCAGTTACACCTGTGTGGCAGTGACAGCAAGAGGCACAGCACCCGTAATCAAAGGCCTTCCATTTGCAGAGAAAAAGTCAGAAAAATGACAATGTATTAATGGATGCCAAGATCCTGTGTAGTAGATTCATTCCTGTTTGTTCAGGTCCTGCCTGGCATTTGCACGATTCGTCAATTGAAAGGACTTAGGTCTGTGTCCACAAACCTGCACCTAAGATTTACTCAATTGAGCAGTTTTTTTTTAAATTATTTATTCATGAGACACACACACACACAGAGAGAGAGAGAGAGAGAGAGAGAGAGAGAGAGAGGCAGAGACACAGGCAGAGGGAGAAGCAGGCCCCATGCAGGGAGCCCGACGTGGGACTCAATCCCGGGTCTCCAGGATCACGCCCTAGGCCGAAGGTGGCACCAAAACGCTGCGCCACCCGGGCTGCCCTCAATTGAGCAGTTTTATAAAGCCATAGATTCAAGGTGTCTCGCCAATGTAGTTACTACTACAAAAGGGAAGAAAACTGTGGACATGGTGACACTGCCCTCAGCAGCAGTAACCACGAAAGGGCATCGATGAGCAAAGACTGGGGGACTCTTAGATTTCGG